CGCCATGTTCACATTGAACTTTAACAGTTCGATAGTTTGTGGAATGTATACGTAGACTCTGTACATCAACAACCCTCCCCCTCCCAACCCAAAGATAGTTATTGAAAGGGCTCAAGGTAGGAAGAAGGTGGAGACCATTCATTTTTAAGCTCTTTGGCTTTTAATGAGTTTCCTAAACCATTTTTACAACCACACAAGGCCACTCTTGACGTGTGGGGGGAAAACCGATCCCACAGGAACCAGGCCTGTACAGCATAAAACCCCCTCCTCAAACTTCTACAAAACTTTCTCTGCACAGTGAGAGATCCATCTGATGGGAATGCCGTCACTCTACATTTCTTGTACTGGGACCAGAACGTGCTGATCACGCCCCTGGAACTGAACGCTTTTAAGAACTAAAATTTTGGATTTTACCCATTTAATAGTATCAAATTTTAAAATTTGATATTTCTCGAACACCTTAATTGATTTTATTTATTGACATGATGTCCTCTTTGTTGAATTTTGTTACATTGAATATTTGTTCAAACTGATGCTGGGACCACCAAGTTACTGTCCTTTAAGTGGATCCTCTGTTTTAAGACACTCTGCACTATAAATACTGTGGTGCAACGGTCAGGTTTTGGCCTCTACACACAAAAGACCTGAGTTCGATTCCCGTTTAGGCAGTTTTATCCAGTATCTTTCTGCCAGGACGTTGTGTACCTCTGAGCCCGGGTTGGCCCGATCCAATGAATAATCAACTGTCTAGATATTTGTGAGAATGTCGAACTCAGATCAACAAAAGCTTGTGGTGTAGCGGTTGGGCGCTTCTCTGTCGCACGCAGGGGACCGAGTTCAATACCCCAGTGGGGGACAACAGATGCTACAAGACAATACCCGGCCCAGACCAGATGGAATATGAGCCAAATCCAAAGAGGTCCTCGCCTATCTTACCGCATGCGGCAGCCTTCGCCCTACAGAGAGGGCAGCCGTAGAAGAAGAAGAAAACAGTTATCGGGTATGTCATTTTTTTCGCTTACAGCGTTGCTAGGACTGTTGATTTTCGAGTTTTAATCATAATTAATCTAATGTGAGTTCTACTTTGAAGAAATAACTCGTAATCACAATTATCAAATAGTTGTGAGAAAAGGTAAACGTCTAGATATCGTCTTGATTTTTATAAAAAGTAAAGATCCTCTTCTGCGTATGACCTCATGGCTTACCCCCTTGTGGCGACACAAAGAGGAGAGCTCAGATTTTCGCAGTAGATTACGAATGGAAACATCACCCAGACCTTTCACCTGGTATATTAAACAAATGACACTCAGAACAGTGAACAGTAAGGCGCTTGGCTGTCACACGCAGGAGACCTGAGTATGATGCCCAAATAGGAAAATACTATTTAAAAAATCAAGTATCACTGTCTTTCTGCTGGGATGTACATTTTTGAGCCCGGGTTGACCGTTACAGGTACGGTCAGAAGCGCGCCTCCTAAATTTTCAAAATTGCGCTGTTGGGGAGAAAAAAAACCCCTCACCAACGTTATTAAACATTGAAAAGTTCAAGCCTAGGCGTAAATGACTGGAATTTCTGTCATAACAGGAGGAAAAGAATGCTTTGTAAACTTGGTATTTAAATGCGTCATCACTATATACGTAGGGTCTACGTACGTATGAACCTGCACGCATCATGGCTAACGTAAAGTGAGAGCGTGTGAGCGCAAAAGCATTCCTCTCAATATCGGCTGCGGCACCGCCTGGAAGATCGCCCCAGGCGGCTCATGTGCCCGGCTGGAAGCGTGTCGATTGGAGGAGTCAACAAGTCACGTGGGCAGGCGGGAAGTGAATCTGTGGGTGCGAGGAGAGAGAGAGAGAGAGAGAGAGAGAGAGAGAGAGAGAGAGAGAA